CGATGATCTTATGTGTGTGTATTAAGTATTACGCATGTTCGTTAATTTCATTTAGATGATTCTCCAAGGAAGATATTCGTTGTTCGACGTTATATATCGAATAATAAAATTTGGTTTGCTTAGTCTAACGCATGATGGCCCTCCTTCTGCGCAATATCGATTGCTCCTGATGCTACCACCGCCTTACGAGGGTGAAACTAGGTCGAAAGCAAGCTATATAGCAGTGAAACATTTTGTTCCTCTTTCGTCTCCTAAATCTCACGATATCCACACACCATTCTATATCTTAAACTCATTCCCTTCTCTACCTTCTTTTCTTTTAGCCCCTTACCCCTTACCACTTACCTCAACACTTATACTTATATCTACACCTACAATTACAAGCCCCCACCTCTTTTTACCTACCACCATCCTTATTACGAGAATGGTAAAGGCTACACGTTGGCCAAGCCGGATCGACCCCTTCTCTCACTCACTCCTCTTCTTTAGGGGTGGTTCGGTCTGCGCTTGTGTTGAGCCTCGTTTTGAGCTTCGGTGCAAGAGGGGAATCCTTGACATAAATAATCAGTAGTAGAGCACTACGGCGCTGTCCCTGTTACCATGGTGACGATATCGATCGACTCGAGTTCTACGAGTCGAACTGGGCTATACCTTTTCTTCCGCGAGAGCTTTCCTTTTTCGTCCTTTCTTTCTTACTTACTTACTTACTTACATACTTTACTTACTTACTTACTTACTTACTTAGATCCCTTTCTTTTTCTTTCTTCTCTCTCTCTCTCTCTCTCTCTATTACTTTCTTAACTCCACCCTTCATCTCTATTTTATTTTCTTCTCTTTTATTGGCCTAATTTTGTTGTTTTTCAACCACTTTTATACATCTTACATTTTCATTTTCACGCTCGATCAATTTCAGATAAATTTTTATACTATACTTTATAGTAATCTAATAAAATAAAAAAAAATGTTTGCTATAAAGCGAAGTTATTTTTTCAGTATAAAGTACAAATGCATAGAAAGAAAATGAAAGATAAGAAATAAAATTGCCTCTAGTTCATTAACGTAAGTATGTATGCAGCAACTCGTAGATAAATACAAAACATAATATATGTAATAAGTTAATGGGATTCTTTTGTTTCTCAGAGCCTACAAGGTCGACGAGTTACGTGTTGAACATCCAAGGGCAGAATGGAGGAAGAAAAGCTTTCCGATAGGTCTGTCTGTAATGGTGTGGTGGCATAACGACGATTAGAAGAATGCTAGCAAGATAAAGTCGAATAAGATATTCTTTACTTTTTTTTTTGTTTCTTTTTGTTCTTTTTAATTAACTCTCAACAAAGAGTAGGATGTATCTATCATGTGTATAATATTGAACACACATATAATTCAACAATTCTATTATCTGTGTGCGTGTGTGTGTGTAATATTATTCTATCTATTTTTAAATTTGGTCATTCTCTTAGAGAGACACGTTTATATTAATTAATAATTTATTTATTAAATTAATATTAAAAGTGTAGTTTTTTTATTTTTAATGTTACAAAAGAAATATCCGTAAAAATATTATTAAATGTAGAAGATTTTGTAAAAAAGGCGTGGAAAAAATCGGTTGGAACAAGAAACCTATGCGAATTCGCAAGCTTGCTGTTCGTGACGACGCACGCAGCTCGCGTACGCGTTTCAAGGCTGACACCGCCCCCTCTCAATATATATATATATATATATATATATATATATATACATACCCCTCTATCTCTCTTTCTCTTTTTCTCTTTCTGGTGCGTGTCTCGGTTCTCTTGGGTCCCCTTCCGACATGGGTATCGTCTATATGCCCCGATCTTCCTCCTCTCTTGCCTCTTCCTCCCCTCTGCCCCCACGACACATCCTATCCTATCGCATGACTCTGCACCGTTACGCAACAAACCGTACAGAAACGCTAGCTTTCGGTGCGCAAGCAAAAGGGGTAGGGATGAACGCTGGAGTACGCAAGTTAAGAACGAATACGCACGCATCGGAATTACGACAGACAGAGTAGTATGTATTTTAATTACTATACAAACTATTAATTTCGACATTCTATTCTTACCTATTTGCAATGAGATTTTTTATCTTTTTTTAAGCCATTTGCGCGATCTTTTGTTTCTTTCGTCGAGAGCCCTACTCTTCTTATGCTTCTAAAAAAATAATCGTATTGAATTAATTAAATTAAGCATTAATAATAGAATTTATTTTCTCAATTTGGTCTAAGATATAAAACCTTGATTCTAATAATGGCAAATTATTCATTTGCGCGAGTTTAAGAATTTTTCCAGGAAATTTTTCTTTATCCTATTCGCTATTACTACTGCGTATGTCATTAAGCAAATGAAGTATAGTGTCAGAGTTGTGATTCAACATTTATATAGAAAATTTGTTTTGTTATTTCAGTAATGATGAGCTCATAGTGCAATAGGTTAAGCTTTTAGCAAGGAAATGAAGAAATACATGAAACGTAAAGATACGTTCGTACGCGTCTATGTACGAATATGCAAAACTTCAAAGTTATACTGTTGATTAGAGAGAGAGAGAGAGAGATTCTATTTTGTTGTAAATTTGTTCGAAGACATTTCAACCTTTATCCGATGGTTATTAATATCGTTGATTAAAAAAAAAAAAAAAAAAGGAATAATGAACTTGTGATATTTTTTTTCTTGTTTATTCGAACGTTGAAAAAATAAAACATGGAACGTTGAAAAATCGTTTTAACCGGGATTAAAGTGTTGCTTATTCGTGCATGCGCAACTATGCTCGCACTAAAGCCGCACGCGTTACCGCGTGATCGCGCCCACACACGTAAATGTATGCGTTGCTGCGAAACGACGTCCTTTTTTTTGTAGACCGATATGTATGAGAACGTATATGTAGATATACGTATATAATATTATATATATATATGTACGTACATAAGAATATATGTATATATAATGAACGTAAAGACTCTCCGGGTTACATGGGCAACGGTTTTACGTGTGGCGCCATCTTAGATAAAACTAGAACTCAAATGTTCAGTCAATAGGCCATAATTTTATTTCCGTTTCAGACCTTTTTCTCTTTTACCAGATTTATTTTCCTATAATTTAGATATTTAAATCGAACCTTCTTTAATTACATTTATTCAATTCTAATCGAAATCGTCGAAAAATCTGTTCAATTTTGTTTTATTAAAACGAAATGCATAATGTGTCCCTTGACATTGACTTCCTTTGGCGTCCATCTTTTTTTTTCTCTCTCTCTCTCTCTCTTTCTCTCTCTCTCTCTCTCTCTCTCTCACACTCACTCTTTCATAACGTAACGTTACACTCGTGATGTAACGGTAACATATACGATTAAATGTCCTTACACGAGTGTACCGTTTTAAGACAGGATATGGATACTTATACTCGTGGAAACCAAAATGGCTGGCTATGTTCCCAATTGTAATTTGTCTTTTCTCTTTTTTAATTTGTCTCGAATGACGAATAGGATGAATGCAATAGTCGACATTTAAAAAAGAAAAAAAGAAAAAAGAAGAAAAAAAAAGTAACATACGATTAAAACGTCCTTCCATGAACACCATTTTAAGATAATTTACGAACAAATGGAATTAGCTAAAACCAAAATGGCCGACGATCTTTCCCGACGTTAGAATTTTTCTTGGTACATTTATTTTCCTTTACTTTTTTGTTGTTGTTCATAACGCAATGAGATAAAAAAAAAAAAAAAAAAAAATACAAAGAAAAAAAGACGAAATAATTCACGTAAATGTTAGATAAAATGCAACGTGCGAAATTTCCTATTAAAATGACCGGTCTGATGTTGAGATCGAGCAGACAATGCTCGGACGTGGAATTGCAATTTCGCGTGCATAGAATCGCGAGGGAGTCATCCGGCCTAGTTCATAATACCATGACTTGGTGGTTATAGCCACTAAATGTAGGACAGCCGCTATGTATGCGTATATACGTATATGAATACGCGTGTATGTAGGTATGTGTGTATGTGCTACGAAACATCCCGATTATGATGCAGCAGACGCGTTACTATGAAAGTATTCACGTGTTTCTAGCGCCTGCGCTGCGTATGCCAGAAGTAAAATGGCACACATAGAAACGCATACACTTGTATATTACTCATACGCATATACGTATACATATTACATACACTTATATAGAGAGGACTTTGCAAGCTCGGCTTTTGTTCGAAACATAACGTTGCGTTGACACGATCGTATTGTTCGCCGACAAAGCTAGACGTCTCGTTAATTCATGCGAATATCGTTTTCATCATTGGTCTTTTCGATGATACATATACTTCCCCTCAGTTCCTTGTTTCTAACATCGGTTGAATGTTCTAAGTATGTCGCAAATATCGAGTTACTTAACTTAACAAAAGCCGAATGAATACGAAAATAAAGATTGGAAGTCTATTATGATGTTGATTGTTTTTGAAATTCTTCCAGGACGTTATACAAAACATGTAAATATGTGTAGGTAATTAGATACGACAGTGGGGTATAAGTCCAGAAATTGAAGAGATTCAATTTATGATTTATTTTCTAGTATATAAATAATTTTAATATCAAATAAATCACATATATATATAATCAATTATTTTCTATTTTTTGATTTACATAGTCCACTCTATTATAATCACCGGTAGATATAATGTTACTTAAAATCGTACATATTAGTATTACTGTAAAAAAAAGTGATAGTAAGTGTTTAATATTCGAAGTATGTTAATAGATATATCGTTTTAAAACAAATGTACTTTGTATTATTATTACTTAAATGGGTATTAAATTGATTCTGATACTAAAAAACAATTTTAAGGAATTTTACAGACCACCACCAACTTTGATATATATTATAACATAATCGATAATTATTAATTATTTTCAATAAATATTTTCATATATAATAAATCATTACATATCAACGAGTTTTAAAAGAATATTCGTATTCACAACTAATAGTCAATTTTAATTTAAGCTTTGAAATTCTTCTAAACGGGAATGAATGTTGATATTATCATGATAACCAATATGTAATGTTATGTGTTACGATATCGTTGAAAATATATTTACGTCATTGTGACGATAAATAGGATAGAAAGTCTAGTCGATTAGGTGTTCATGCATCGGTGTTCTGTAAAATGTCCAATAAATCTCAAGATAGGGGGATGCATAGAGAGTAGTAAAAGGGTGTGATAGAAACCGTATGGCTCTTGGCTTGCATTCTCTATTGGTTTTCTCTCTATGTTAAACTCTCCTTCTCTCTCTCTCTCTCTTTTTCTCTTTCTCTTTCTCTCGTCTAACGGATCTCTCTCACGGGACAAGAAGTTCGATTTCGACATAACGAATGCAGGTTCTACCACTTTGTGACGATCAATAAGAACCAGCTCGTATCGAGGTGAAAGTATTCATATATATTGTAAGTCATATACATATATATGTATATGTATACTATCTAAACGTTCACTTTATATTATATTATATCAGAGAGACAGCTGTATTTTTCGAATGAATCGAGATGTCAAGCGCCGATAATAATACTTCTCAACCTACTGCCTACTACATATCAATATGTTAAATGTTCAACGACGCTTAGCTTTATTTCGTTTGGGAATAGTAAGCTTGAAAACGAGTTTTATACTCTGACTCCATATAAGATGGTATGCTTATTTAACGAATTTGCATAAACGTAAGAAGTTACGCTTCGTACTATCTCGGACTCTCGGATTCGACAACGCACACCACGTTTCCTGTAGTTTTTCACAATTCTATCATTGTTTCATAATATATCCGTTGGTTGATCAGAATTCATTGGTGTGTATAATATCAATGTCGAATTAAATCAATCATCTTAATTAAAATAATATTGAAATAAATCAAATTTAAAATAGTAACAAACAGATCTCTTTTTTTTTTGCACTATCGTTTTTCATTTGTTCTTATTACAATGACATACGCGCGTATCATCGGTGATGATCTAAACGGTAAAAGATTTTGAATCTTCCATTTGTGAACGATACGTTCGTGCAAAGTGCAAACGGGCCAAGAACACAGAATGAAATAAAGAGAGAGAAAGAGAGAATACCGGCGATGAAAAGTTCCGATTACAGAGCGCGTGTGCTGTGACACAGATACGTATCCTCCCCGCCCACTCTACCAACAGTAACTGCCTTCGTAGTGGTAGCTCTCTGCAAACTGGGCCACTGCACCTACGAAAGCCCAGCTTCGTAAGTTTTGCTTTCGGTTTGGGTCTTCGTTTATACATATACTTACTTACTTACTTATTTACTCATTTACTTACTTATATATATATATATGTGCATAAAAAAGAAAAAAAGATAGAGGGAGAATTTTATTGAAATAGAAAAAATTCGCAATGTATCCTTAAAAAGTATCGCAAAGCTTCAACGTTTAATCATTAAATTGTTTTTATTTTCTGTTCCCAAGTGAAGAATAATCGATCGATTATTTTCGAATAAAAACGTGTCACCCCAACGTTCGAGATATATTTATTTTAATATTGTTTCTTTCTTTTTGGTTTATTTATTTATTTATTTATTTATCGAGTCCCCCTTTTCTTTCGATCTCTTCGTTTTTTCTTTTTTTTTGTGAAAGAAACGCGATTTAATTAACATAATTAGCACGATAATATAAAAGAAAAGCAAGCAAGCAAAAAAGAATATCTCGCAATTTGAACGTTCCAATTTTTCTTGATTACTATTGCGTGCGATAGAAAATTTGCTGGGGGTTTTTTTTTTCTTTTTCTTTTTTTTTTTTTTTTTTTTGTAATGCTTACGCTATCCTCGAAAGTATAACTTACGTTGCTTCAAACAACGTTGCTTTTTTGTTTTCAAAAACGAATTTTCGATTATTGTTTCAGTAACATCGTAAAATGGTATCACTTGGAAGTATGTTAAGATATTACGTCGTAAAGTTTCTGGTATAGTACGGATGATACGTTCCAGACGCCGTTCGCTTTATGAATTCAGTCAGAGGATTCAAATTTAGCCAATGAAAAATTAGTAAACCCTTATACCTCTCTAAAAAATATTTTTAACAAAATCAATCGTAAATGAGAATCTAAATATGTACTGTCATAGAATTATTTTCATACACATCCTTAAACCAACCCAACCCAACCCAACCTCACACAACATTCAACTCAACTCAACTGAACTCAACCTCAGCCCCCCCCCTCTCTCTTTCCTCCCTTCCCGAAAGAATCTCAATTTCGTCGGTGTATTAAATTCGTTACGATTTGTGTCCTGTTACAAACGAAATTCCCCAGAGGCATGTTTCGGTGATAAATTTACAATGCACCGCTCGACGCCAGCTGCGCTTCCGTAATAAGTTTGGCCAACAGAGAGACAGAAAGAAAGAAAGAAAGAGAGAGAAAGATAAATAAATAAAGAAAAAAAGAAGCTAAAGAAGAAGTGAGAAGATACGATGATTAAATATCATCAACAAAACATGAATAATTTTATCCATCATACTCGACAATCGTATTATTTCAATCTCTTATATTTAATCGATTCAATATAATGATCACACAGATATTTACTCGTTAGTATAAATTTGCATAACTATAGAGCATAGCTATGACGTAATAGAAAGAAACAATTTGAAAAATTATAATTGGAGATCCTTTCTAAGAAGAATAAGAAAGAATGGGAAAAAAAAAAAAAAGGAAAATAACAGAATAGAATAGAATAGAATAGTAATAGAATAGAACAGAAAAGAACCGAAAAGAAAAGGAAAGGAAAGAAAAGAAAAGAATGGAAAAATAGGAAGGGAAAAAAAGACAAGAGATCATGATGACGAAGGGTTAAAAACGAGTCGATCTACGGGTCAAATTTGAACGTCCCTTGTACCGGATCCGGTCTCTCTCTTTCTTTCTTCATATTGACGTCCCTGTGGTAATAACTCGCTCTCTCACGGGCGCTTACGTAAGAAAGACGTACCTACCTACCTACCTACCAACCCACCTACTGTGTAAGTAAGTATGTGTACGTAAGTACGCGTATGTGTGTGGCTATTCAAGGGATCAAGGCAAACCGGTAGGCAGGCGAGCAGTCAAGCAAGCGGCCAAGCAAGCAAGCAAGTAAGCAAGCAAGCAAGCAAGTAAGCAAGCGAGCAAGCAAGCAAGCAAGCAGGCAGGCAAGCGAGCAGGTAAGCGGTCGAGAAACGAACGGACAGATAGGTAAGTAGGTAGGTGGGCACATGTTGTGCGCATGCCCTTAGCCAAACCTGCCAAATGGATAGGCAATGCAACAGCGGAAATACCATCCTCCGCTCCTCCTCCTCCTCCTCATCCTCCATCTTCTTTTACTACTACTTCTTCTTCTTCTTCTACCCTCTCTCTCCTCATCATCTTCTTCCTCCTTCTCCTCCTCCTCTTATACCCTAACTCCTGCCTCTTCCTTCTACGCAGCATCACCCCGACCCCTTCTCAAAGCGCCATGCTTCTCACGGCTCGTGGCAACATTCGTCTCTCTCGACCAGCTCTCTAGCTTCTCTTAGTATAGTTATACTTTTCACAAATAACCCGCCAATAGTACGAATATGTCATAGATATTATAATCGAACAATCATATTTTTCCATCATTCGTCTTATATTTTAGGAATTTATTTATTTTATTATTAAGGATATCTGGTTTATATCACATTTGAACTATGATATTTGAATGAATTAATACATTATTGAGAATGATTGATATATTTCATTTTTTGTAGATCTCATTTGTAAAATTGTATACTTTATTTTTATAATTAAGGATATCTGGTTTATTTCATTTGAACTATGATATTTGGGGGAAATATTTGAATCAATTAATTAATAGGTCGAATTGAATTGATTATTGAGAATGATTGATATATTTCATTTTGTAGATCTCATTTCTAAGATTTGTTTTAAGGTTTTAAAAGTATTGTTTCATTAGAGAATTTATATCGACTTTTGTTAATTCAAAGGGTAAAGTATATAATTATGACGATGAATTAATATTTATTTGTTTAAACGCGTGCGTGTAGGAAACTTTAAATAATTTTTTGGTAAACATGTGTATATTGATTTGAGTATAGGATATGCGTTAATTGATATATATTTCGTAAAGAAATTATTTCTACTTATTAATTGTTGTTAGAAATATCTTTCGTTTCTTTTTCTGTTTTTTCTTTTCCCCCATCGAAGAAAAATTGATCGATGTCCTATACGACAATTTTTTCCTACCAATTGAAAATATATATTTTTCATTTTGTAATTATTTATGACTGTTATATTCGCGAGAGTTTCCTCGAGTTCGAAGAATCATGCCAAGAGAATTAATCGTTCGTAAAACCAAAGAGTAAGAGGAGGATGATTTCATCGGGGCGAGGTGAGGTGTGTTTGTAAGGGTACGAAGAGAAATGTGCGTGTGAAATAACGATCAGAGGCGTCACCGAGTTAATAGATTAGTTGAAAACACGCTCGTTTCTGCGTCATATATGTCATGTACATTTAGCTTTATCAAAAGGGCGCTCAAGAAATTGTGAACGTTATAATATATCTACTTAAATAGGGTTTGGACGAATGCTTACTGTACAAATAATTTTTCCCCAATTTACTAGAACAAAATTCGTCAATAAATTAAAACGTTGTCTCGAACGTGAATATATATATACATTTCTATAAATAATTAAATCCACAACTTATAATTGCAACAATATATTACCCATTTAGATATAATATTTCAAATATTTTCTCTCAGACGAATGTTGACTCTATTATCAAATAATATAAGAAATTAAAAGAGAAATGTTTTGTGCCAAAATTTTATGATCGTACGATTAAATTTTAAAAATTCAATAAATTTACGTGTGTCTATACTATTTATAAATATAACTACCAACAAAGATAATTATCTCAAAGTTTTCTTCGACGTTAATATGATATCATCGAAAAAGCAAAACGGTTTTTTTCTTTTTTTTCTAACATCGACCCAATCAAAAATTGAAGAAGTAACAAAAAAAAAAAAGTGCGTTTAAGAGAACGGGAAGAAGTCAGGTCGATATTTTTGGAAGGAATGGAAGAAAACGAGAGAAGAAGGTTGTAGGGTGCGGCGTTGTCTCCTCTAGGGACCCTAGAAGAATGGCGGATTGTAGGAAGGGAAGAAGATTTCCGGGAAGAAGGGAGATATATATATATATATACATATATGCGATAGAAGAAAGAGAAAGATAAAGAGACTGCGGGAATTCATATGTGTGTGTGTGTGTGTGTGTTGGCGCGGGTGCGCCCGCGCGCGTCCTTCCTAAAAGAGGAGCGTTCTTCGTCCTTGAAGCGCCCTTGACGCGTCGTCAACATCGTCGGGTTTGCTTCGCACGGCCTCCACTCGGATCCACCGCGAACTAATCGCCTTTAGAAAGCTTCGTTTGGTTTGCCTGCGACGCGTCGTAGGGCGTGGTCTAAGCGCACACCCGCTGACCTCCTGCCACGGCAGCCATCTTTGTTAGAAGTGCCACGTCTCGGAATGGTGCGAGGGTGAAAGTTAGGGTGGCTTTTTCGGCAAAGAAACGGATTATCAATCCGCATCTTAAACCCCATCCTCCCATCTTTATTCTGCTTACACTTACATCTTTTTACCTTTTTCTTCTTCTTCTTTTTTTTTTTCTACTTTTTAGTTTTTTTTCTTTTCTTTTATACTTTCCTCCCTTGAACTACTGACTCTACGTAATTGTATCTAATGTATAATACACGCGTTTTTCTTATTTTTTTAAGATCACAAATATACGTTACTATTTTAAATTTAAGGGGAAACGATTAAGGAAAGTTGGAAATATTAAAACATTGCGCCTTTTTCAATAATTTGTTAATCATCGATCGTAAGTATGTAAGTATGCTGATTTTTCAATGCCATTCTCGGGATCCACGTGACTTGGATTCTCTTGAATCTGATATCTCTGAGAATATTTTTTTTTTTATCGTATCTATCTTTATTCTTATAATTAATCGTTGTATGTAAATTTCCTCCTCTTTTTTCTTTTTTTTTTTCCTTTTTTTTCTTTTTTTGCTGATTACTTACATAGTTATTATCTCGTCAAATGTACGACTTTTAAAAATTCGTTCGTAAAAGAAATCTAAAGAAATCTAAAGAAATATAAAGAAAGAAAGAAAATAAAGGAAATAAATATAAAGAATAAAAAGCAAAATAGTTTACGGTGTCGACGACGTAGCCAACGTTGTCGTTCAGCTTTGAGGGTTTAATGCAGCGCGATAGCTTGGCGATGCGATGCGGTGCGGAAAAGCGTGAATCTACTGATAAAAAGTAGTTAAAATAGAAGAAGAAAAAAAAAAGAAAAGAAAAGAAAAGAAAAGAAAAGAAAAGAAAAGAAAAGGAAAAAGAGGAAGAAAAATTAAGAAGAAAAAACAAAGATGAAAGAAAGAACATCCGAAGGGTAGAATATCGCAGGAATACGAACGAACGAACCGATTTCGCATTTAAGACAAATGGGGAGTTTATAGGGTTTGAGAAAAAATTAAACAAAAAAAAAAGAAAATGAAGTAGTCGAATTTAAACGTTATAAAACGTGGCAGGCAGCAGCAAAATAAAAAAAAAAACTTGTGCCGTTGCTGCTGCTGCTGTTGCTGATGTGGAGTTTCTCAGCTAGTTCGAAGCCGAAGGCTGTGCTTAATAATTGATATCGTCGCGGTTACGCAACGCGGGTCTGTTCTACGCGTAGTACGAACGTGTTTCTCGTGTTGCTGATGTATTTTACGCGTACATAAATACCAATACACATATACGTTAACCGATAAACCACGACACAACGATGACGATGACGACGACGACGGCACGAACGCCTTGGTTGGCCTTTACATCGCGATGTTTCTTATTCCTCTTTTACTTCTTCTACATTCTCACTAACACTATGATATATCATTCTCAACTATACAAAGCGAGAGAAACGTTCCACCCTCCGAACGGAATATTCCGTTCAGTCATCGTTCTTCTTCTAGCCTGCCAATGAAAATTCTCGTGAAATCAAACAAAAGTACAAACAAAAAAGAAACGCACAAATTATAATAATAATAATAAGAAGAAAAAAAAGAAGATGAAGGAGAACAAAATGAAAAATCGAAATAACGACGAAAAATCGTATATCGGTGTTGGATAGAATAAAAAAAAAAGAAAAAAAAAAGGAAAAAAAAGAGAAGAGAGAACACAAGAAAAAAGAAAAAAAAAACGAAGAAAAATAGAACAAATATTACTCTCTTACGTTATTATAGTCGGAAAGAGTTTCTCGCGGAAAGATGGTTCCCCTTCCTACTCTCTCTTTCTCTTACAAAAGCGCGCGCTACGTAGCGCATAGTCGCAGAGCGTGCGCTTTTGTTCTTCTCTTTTCCTTCTTCAAGGCCTGGTTACCCGCTTCGCCCCACTACGCGGATTGACCGCGGCATGCTTATATCATGCTCTCTACCCTTTTCCCATCCTCGCCACTCTCCTCTTCTATCCGTAATCTCGTCTTCTTTTTCGCTTACACTACTATCTTTCCTTATACACACGCGTGAAGTTTGCTTCGATGGGGTACGACGCGCAATCGCGCCAACAAACACACACATATATTAACCACGCATACGCACGCCCATATACAATCATATGCATGTATATATGCATACCACCACCACACACATGAACACATAAACGTATCCTTCCCCTTACCCCCATCCCACCCTGCCAACATCCCATCACCCCTTCTTCTTCTAAATCTATACATCTTTCTCTTTCTAGCGATCGTGTGCGCATCTCATTCCCCTCGATCCATCCTCTTCCTCTTTTCGCATAGTTCTCGCAGGGCCTCCCCCTGCACCCTTCACCTCTCACGAATCATCCGCAGACTTTACCACTCCTCCTCCACCTCCACCTCCTCCTCTTACTCGTTCTTCTTCTTTTCCTCCACTTCATCGTCATCCTCCACCAACTCGGCCCAACGAAACGACCGTTTCGCAATGATGTCATCCACGGCATTGGCGTCGACGCCTAGAATCTCACCCCAAAGAAAAATTGACCATACTATTCTATCCTCTCCACTCCACTCCTCTCCACTCTTTCTTTTTCTCTCTCTTCCTATTTTATTCTTTCACCATTACGCAGGTGAAACCTTTAACCTTGAACCAACTAACTTATCTTCTTTTCGTTTGATAAATGTGAGAGAAAGAACGGAGAATATCTAAAGGGAGATGATGATAGTACTCGTTTAATTTTAAATATTTTTATAGACTTTGACAAAAAGGGAACGACATTTATTTGGTTATTAACCATCGTGAACAAAAATCAAATCTCTATAAGTTCGTGAGTATTAAATAATATAAATTATATCTTAATGTGGTAAAAGTTTTAGATTTCTTTTTTTATTGCATAAAGAGAGAGAGAGAGAGAGAGAGAACGATGATTAAAGTATGTAGATACGTTCGCGTTTCTACTGAAATATTATATCGAATAAGGCGGAAGTATGTGATGACCTTGCAACGTGCAAAACCGGACGAGGAGTCAAAGATTAATAAACGTTTATAACGTTGGTATAATGTGAATGGTAGTTGTAAGGTGGTCGTCGGTTTTATGAATCTCTTGATGACAAGGAAAAGAACAAAATTTCAAAGATGACATTTAAAAAAACGAATAGAAAAATTGATTTATTTTTCAACAATCCTTTTTTTTCCTTATATATATATATGTATACACAATTTAATCAAACACATTCGTTATACTTGTATTATTTTTTTGCTTCTTCACTCTCCTCCTCCTCCTCCTCTTCATCCTCCTCCTCTCTTTCTTTCTATCTATCTCTAGCTCGTTCGCTCGCTCATCTTTTTGAAGGTTCTTCATTCATTTCATTTTTTTTTTGTTCGTTTCTTTTTTTAATCTCAAGTACGAGTGGAGGAACGTGGGCAGAACGAAGTACGGTTTCGAGGTCAGCGTGTAAAATTAGACATGCCGGATAGGACGAAATCTACTACCACATATACGCGATAGAGAAAGCGTAGAGAGAGAGAGAGAGAGAGAGAAAGAGAGAGAGAAGACGCAATCTGAAACGAACGAAGGCGGAAACATTTGGAGTTGTTACGCGAAAGATGGCCGCAAAGCGAAGCCTTCTATAAAATGGCGCTAGGCCACCCGCGTGCGCGCGCGCGCGCGTGCTCGTTGATTCGCCATTTTCACCAAACTATTCATTCGCCAATATATCACACATTTTATAATATACTTATTATTTATATCGTATATCTTAAAACAAATTTATGATATATATATATATATATATATATCATTTTTTGCGCTTTTATGCAATAAGACGCTTCTTCTATGATGAAATCATTCAAAGTCGAACGAGAATTATTAAACTGAATACAATTAAACCAGTTAAGAAATTAACTATGGGAATCGGAATTAATATGATTCGAATTTATTATACGTATTAATCATATAATCGATCAATTCTATCGCCTTTTAATATGATTCTTTTTTCTTCTTTTTTTTTTATTCTGTACACATCAATTTTTAACGACGATTCCTATTTTTACATGTCACTTTTTTTAACATTATACATCTCGCATCGTATACATTACTTTTTTTTTTCTTTCGGAATATAATATTGTCAGTGATGTGTTTTGATATTATAAAAAATATACATATACATATATATATAAATATGTATAAGCATCGTAGATTTATATCTTATTATGTGACTTATTTTTTTGTAAGTAAGCAAGTTCTTGCTCTAACATAAGAGTCGATGGCTATCACTGTTCCTGTAACTGTGCAAGAAAGTAGTACAAGGCAAGCTAGTCCCACTTCCCTTTTCTACTCGTGTACATTCTCTCTCTCTCTCTCTCTCTGACTCTATCTCTATTTCTCACGTAGGAATACACATACATATCATACATACATACGCAACTCCTATCTTTTTCCCCGCCCAGTTAGATTATTTTTCTTTACCACGAATCGCGTAGTAACTTTCCAAACTTACCTCCATATTATTCCCTGTTAAGCCTCTCATCTTTCTCCGACACTTTATATATCTCGATTAACAATATGATATTACTTGGATATTTGCTTACAAGTTGATCGTTATCAATTTCTTCTATTTTTTTCCTAACTCTTATATAAAAGTTAATTTTTCTTCGAATCGTTATCAGAGACGAAGTAAACTTGTTTGCAATCTATTCAACAAGAGATATATTAAACTACCGTCGTAATTATCTCGAAATTCGATAAAATTACGCGTACATGTTTGAGCAGCTTCTTTCCTCGTTTTTTTCTCTCGCAATTGAAATAATAATCGTCGTTTCAATTGTAATTACCTCGAAAAGAAATGAATTCTCGGAACGTGCGTATTTCTTTCTCGCTGTTTATTAACCATTTTAACTAACGAAGTAATTATTGACGCAAGATGGATGCGAAATAAGCGAGTACGTGATATCCCATCGCGTTCTAGGAAAAAATATTCATTAACGACGATGCAAACGTTAAACCAACAACACGATGGGGGGGGGAGGGACGACGACAGAATTTTGTCTACGAATTAAAATAAGAAGGAAAAAATATAGATAGAAAAAACTCGAATTTTTTTTTTTCAAAAATACATAGAAATACATTCATTGAATACGAGTGAGAGTATAAAAAGGGGGGTAGGGGTGCTAAAGAAAAATTAATATTGGACGTACATACATATAAATTTTGAGGCGTAGAAAACTCGGTAATGGTAAATACATACAATGAGGCCACCACACACCATGGTATTTGCCAAGTTACGAAAGTAAGCGGCTTTAGAAAGTATAAAATGGTCGAAGTGAACGGCGGCTTAGTTGGTTGGGGATCTCTTGCAACGTAGTCGATTATAATACCAGCAAAAGCGGTCCGTTCTTGTTCGGGTTGGTGTAGTAGAGAGCTGTTGCTGTGCCGTTGCTTTAGCCACACAGGAATCTTTAGTACGGCAGGTGTAGAAGCCATTGCTAACGGACACCGAACATTTCCAATCGTTGGACTTTGATTTATCACGTTGTTGGGTAGTAGAGTATGTAACAACGATAGCTCACGAATAAGCAATAAAAAAATACATTTACATATAATACAATTTTTCATATCACACGTTTTCAAATGATGGTTTCGGTAGGAGGAGAGTCATTAAAAAACAAAAAAAAAAGCATGTTTAGGTGAAATCTAATCGACGAAACACGCCGATCGTAAAGGCACGTATCGAATATCAATGACGAAGCATGACGATGATCCCAAGAACTCTTTTTTTATTTCTGGTCATTTGGTAATCATCAGGAAACTTATTTCAAAGAGAGTCCATGATCTTATTAAAAAGATAAATAGTATATATCGCAGAACGTTCGGTACTCGCGCAGTGTCTTCCATGATCCCAGAGCCACTAAACAAAGCACGTTACAGCTGGGGGAACACGGCTCTCACTGCTGAGCCCGAAAACACCTACAATAACTATTATTGTCCGTAATAATCATATAGCGAACAAAAAACGGGCACGTTTCCAATTTTTAAATATGCCTTTTTTTTCCTTTTTCTTTCTTTCCTTACGTTGGCTCCGAAGAAAGTAGTTGTTTCTTGGGAGAGATAAACAACAGAGAGAAAGAAAGAAAGGAGAGAGAAAGAGAGAGAGAGAGAGAGAGAGAGAGAGTGATATTATTTTTAAAGTGATTAATGGACAGATAGGTAAAAAAATAGACAAATAGACAGATAGATAGATAGATATAGAAATAAAAACAAAATAGATAGATAAATAATTAGTAAGAAAGAAAGAAAGAAAGAAAGAGAGAGAGAGCTAATTCACGAGGCCGATAGGAGAGAGAAAAAGACTGACTGTCGTTACGCAGAGCCAAGCCAGTTTCTCACCCCCACTGACCCAGCGACCGAGAGCCAGCAACACTGGGAACACCCCCTGCGTGTATGTGTGTGTGCTGCGAGGAGCGTGTACCCTTTACACGGACGATGAAGAAGAAGAAGAAGACTAAGATGTCCGTTATTTTTCGCGGCATCGATGTAGGTGGAACAGAAAAAAAGTTTCTTATTTTCTATGATTTTCTTCTTCCTTTTCTTTTAAATATTTATATAGCACACCTCCTCAAGTCGCACCATTGTTTTATCTTCAAAGTTGCGTTCTCAATTATGATGTAAAGACTTGATATATGTTAGAGAGAGAGAGAGAGAGAAAGAGAGAGGAGTCATGGATCGATATCCACGATGACGACGATGACGACCATCGTAACAAACGTTAGATCACACACTGGCCCAGCGAGAGAGACTAGCCACGGTTCGATCACGTGATGATGGGTTGCGTCACATTTTCCCCTTTTGCCACTCGCCGAGAACGAACCAACGAGCGACAAGACCGCCATCTTTACCCACTAAGAGACCAGAAGACACGGACACAGAGTTACCACGATGACGATGACGATGACGGCAATGTGGGATTGTCGATGGTTTCCCTTTCTTTATTTCTTTTTTAACGCATTTTATATTTTTCCCCTTACTTCTGATTCTTTTTCCATGTATTTTTCTTCTCTCTCTTTTTCCTTTCCTTTCCTTTTCCTTTCACTTGCTTGCTCTCTTTCTCGATATTCTTTTTTCTTCCTTTTTCTCATCGGTTTATTTTTCCGTTCACACAAAGGGCCTCGGAGGAACCCCTCGCGTACAAACCCACTCGCAACTGTCCCCTTCTTCCCCTTTTCGATTGGTACCTTTTTCTCTTTTTTACTATTATTATTGTTATTTTTGTGTGTGAAAATTGTTATTATTATTATTAATATTATAAGTATTATTATTATTATTATTGTTATAGTATTACGTTTGTGTATCTTCTTCGCACGACTGGAACTTTTAACTTGAAGAATATAAAACCTCCGTACTCACTCTTTTTGCACACGTACAATCGTAATTTAATCTCTTCTCTCCTTTCGCATTGATTTAAGAACAAAAAAAAAAAAAGAAAAAAAATCAGATAGGGAAAAGCATTATTATTAAAAAAAAAAGAAAAGAACAGTTAAATAAAATCAAACAATTCGATCGGCAATAATGAAAACCGTGCGAAAGCGGAAGAAGAACCGGTGACCCACTTTCTGATATCTTTCCCGATGACGAGAAATCCCGGACGCGTTACAGTACGGGACTATCCCAGAATGCGGAAGTTAAATCCTTTTCTTTTTTTTCTCTCTCTCTTTTTTTTTAAGAAGAATATAAAACACGATAAGGGATAGCAGCAACAGATTACTCGCGAATAATTTTTGAGCGTTTGAACGTTTGAGAGAAAAGGTGAGTTGCGAAGTTGTTTGCGAATTTCCGGTCACGTCGTCGCTCTCCTCCTCGTCGTCGTTGGTGGTGTTGGTGAGTTGGTGAGTGCACAATAAAATAAACGCGTTTGGAAGAATTATTTAAAAATTGAACGAATGAAAAAGAGAAAGAGAGAGAATAAAATGAAAAAAGAGTTTCTAAAAAAAAAAATAAAAATGGGTGAAAGTAAGGAATATTGTCGACGAACTGAATTGTGGACACACCATGATGGCCGTCGACGTTATCGGACGTCGAATGAACAAACGAACGAGCGAACGAACGAACGAACGATCAAGTAAGCAAGCAAACGTACAAACGAATGAAGAAGAGGATTGAACGTAAAAGGAAACTGAGTTAGGGGATTGGAAGAAAAAGGAAGGAAAGAAAGAAGGAAGAAAGGAAGGTAGGAAGGAAGGAAGGAAGGAAGGTAGGTAGGTAGATAGGAAGGAAGGTAGGATAGAAATGAAGTAAAGGAATGATGAAAGGATAAGATGGAACTAGGGAAAAGGGCCAGAGAAAGAGCGAGAGAGAGATAGAGAGTGTTGCGGAACGCGACCGACCCCGAGGGCGAGCAACGACGAACGAGGATGCGCTCGAGCGCGAAGCCCGTGCCGTTCTCTGGGCTTTATCCCCACCATTGTTAAATGTGCGCTCGCGGTATCCGGTGAGAGAAACTACGAGGAGATTATCGGCATCGCGCACTCGCACGGACCCGCGGTCGAGTTTCGTTGGTCGAGAGCCGTTGCTACTTGGCTCGTGATTGGTCGAGGTAAGCGCGCGCGACGAGCACGCGCGCTTCCTACCATCGTGTGTCGCCCTTGGTGGGGGTGACGAATAAGAGGTGGAGGTGGAGGTGGTGGCGGAGGTGGTAGCGGTGGTGGTGGGGGTGTGTCGGACCGAGGGTTACAGAAAGAGGAGAAGGGGCATGAGCCCAGGAAGAGAGTGACAGAGAGAGTGAGAGAGAGAGAGGGAGGTGGGACTAACTAACACCAGTAGGGTGGGGCAACAGCAACGCGCTAAGAAGAAACAAGAAGCCCGTCGTGCCGAAACTTGCGGCGATAAGGTTGAACGAGAACTGGCCGCACCGCGTGCGGAAACCCGCTACTTATGCTCTCTCATGGTGGGGAAGGAAGCGCGTAAAACGACGACAACGACGACGACGACGCGACAAGCCAACAACGTTGCTTCGAACGCGCCAATCCAAAGACTAAAAAACCTTTCTTTCTTTCTTCTAGTTAGTTACCCCAACAACGATCACGAGTGTTTTGATTTTTTTCCTTTTTTCCCTCTCTTTCCTCCCTTTTTTTATTTTTCTCAAACGAAAGGGGAGAAAAAGAGCAACTAATAATGGCGATTGACAAATTTCGGACGACGGTCTCCAGGCTCATTTTCAACGTCGTCCGAGCACTCTTTCTAGGTATAAACTTGCAAGTAAATCTCTAAATAAGAGAAAGAGAGAAAGAGAGAAAGAGAGAGAATATGAGAAAGAAAGAGAGTGAGAGTTTTATCAAACGGAACGGAGCGATCGTCTCGAGCGCGATCGTCAGACTGCCGTTGGTTCACGGCAACCGAATGCTACTCGAATGTTTGACCCATTTTTCTATCGATCCTGCCGTTTCTGCATCTAGGACACTGCGCGCGATCCCTCCTGCCGTTGAAATCTCTTTCGAATCCTCCCTTCCACCCCCTACTGACCCCACCAAAGCCCATCCTTCCTCCTTCCCCACCTCCTTCTTCTCCACCCTCATCAATTCCTATATTCCTGTGCTCTATTTTTCTATTCCAGCCAACCCCACGCTCGTCCTGATTTTTCTTTAGATTCTTAAACTCCCCTCCTATAATATGCCTTTCCTAACAACCGCTTCTTCCCCTTTCTTATCTTTACATATGTCTTTGATGACGCGAATCTTGTTCGGTTCCTATCCGAGAAATCTACTGATTGCGAGAGGTAAAAATTGTTTATCTATTTTCTTCATACTTTGTTTTTTTCTTCTTCTATACTCTTCTAATGAAAACTTACATAACGCGATAGATAGACGCGATCTGATAGACGGAACATGAGATAACGTAGGAAAACGAATAACATCAATTCGAAAGAGATTCATGGATGACGGGAAATACTTTTCCTTGGCTTCTTCCTGGTTCACAGTAATGCAATGGATCGAGGAATCACCGAAATTGATAGTAAGTACATTGTACTGGTAGGAAGATTAAACGCCAACGTTTCCTATGGGTTTAGTTATGTAGAACTTAATGAAGAAGAAGTAGAAGTAAGAGGAGGAGGAAGATGAAGAGGAGGAAGAGAAAGAGGCGGTGGTGATGATGAGCGCGGAGGTGGGAGAGGTGAATCGCAATGAAATATTAGGACACCACCAGCTCGTCATCGTCGTCATCAGCGCCGCTGTCGTCGTCGTCGTCATCGTCGTTGTCGTCGTTGTCGTCGTCCTATTTCCGCGCTCGGGAAAGTTCGTGTCGGCACCGATTGTGCGCGAAGCTACGGGAATATAAGTAGGTCGTTCCAAGCTGCACGTGTCGTCCTTGACTCACATAACGAGGCGCGCAGGCGCTCACCGGTGCCGCATTGCCGGTCGCTAGGACTCTTTCTTTGTTCCTCCTCCCCCCTCCCACCCTTCCACTATGGGTTGCTAACACTTCAAGCTTATGTAGTATATATATCTTTCTCTCTCTCACTCTTTCTCTCTTTCCTTCTTTCTTCTCTCAAATTTTCTATTTAATTGTAAGTATGTATGTTCTCACTCTCTCTCTCTCTTTCTTTCTCTTGAGTGTTCCTAAGCGCATTTCTAATTGTAAGTATCACGAATATGCTATACGCGTGTTTTCTTGCCTTTCATAAATTTCGAGTAGAGTCCATGTTGGTTCTTTCAATTTCTAAACGGGAATTTAGACTCCGTTCTAAATCGATCGTGTTCTCTCTCTTTATAGATTCAAGAAATTATATATTTCTCTTAAATATAAAATCTCTTTCGTTTGTGATTATCTATACTTTCTATATCATGTTGGATATTAAATATCAAAGTAACCTCTGACGGTTACCTACCTATTCAGACGTTAATTTATGCTGCTTACTACTATTTTCGAAATCACGTCGATGGCCTATTCTAAGTGCCCAGATGCTTTTAAAAACGAGTAGGCGAGAGGTGAGACTTTGTTAGAGGCGTGTGGTTGCGTCGTCTATGATATGGACTGAAGAGAAGGAAAAGAAAGGTTATCGTTAATGCCACTCTCTTTTCTTAACATGCATACTTACATATACATATACGTAATACATATGTATAAGTGCGGTAAGTATTCCTCCATCTTCCTTTTCTTCTCTTCTCTTCTCTTCTCTTCTCTTCTCTTCTCTTTACTTCTCTTCTCTTATGTTAGCAGCGGGATTTCAAACATGTAAACGCGCGTAGCGACGAAGGTTCGATCGCGTGACGTAATTACGCGCTGTCGCAACGCGTGCGCAAGAAGGAGACGCGTGGATCCGGTTACTTAGGGGAAAAAGCAATGTGTATCGACCTAGGGAAACCTAGGGTACCGTGTTCAAATTTTCCTCTTTGTCTTCTTACACTGTTTTCTTCTTCTTCTTCTTGTTATATTGTTACACGATCATCAACACACGCAAGCACGCACGCACGAGTAACACTGATTCCTAAATTATATTTTTCGAGTTGAGATTGTCGAGTTTATAAACTTTGTCTCTGTTTCCGACAAACTATATTCATTTATTAATGATATAGATAATCGTAATGAGAATTTTCGATAACGATCCATGTAATTTGACAATTATAATTGAAATTACAGATCAATTGGTTATAACAATTGTTATTTGATCCATCTTTGGTGTTCTTCTTCTTCTTCTTCTTCTTCCTCCTTCTTTCTCTCTTTCCATTCTATTTGTTTGTTATGCGGAAGAAACGAGATAAAAACCTCGTGGAAATCGGCAGAGTCTGGCTCAGCTTTGGCACCGTAGGTATTGATCGCCACGGAAACTCCAAAGGGGAGAGGGCATCACCACGCTGCTGAGCTGCTATCCGAACCCCAATTGGATCGACCTACCTCCTGCTTGCTTGCTTGCTTGCTTGCTAGCTAGCTAGCTAGCTAGCTGCTGGCTGCTGCTGGCTGTTACTATCGTTGGCAGCAGAGTATGTGCGCGCGCGTGCACGCTATCACTACGGCCTATTTCTCGAATTCGCCAGGAAACCGCCACCGCCTTCATTTTCTTCCACCACACCTTCCTTTCCTCCCTTTATCCATCGATCGTGAACAAAAACTCACAAGAAATGTAATAGGAATATATCCAAAATTATTCTAATATATTATCGTATCAATTTTGTAACAATTGTATATCATTGTTTTGTTATATATGTTGTTCATCTGTATATTCTCTTGTTGGATTGTCGAAAAAAAATACAAAATTTTGTACGGTTTAATTTTCATTTGTAACCGCATCAATACTTGTGAAATTATAATCCATAATATATATAAAAAAGTAATCTGTAGCTAGATGAATATTTCATTTTATTTAGAAATAATTCATTCATCGTGTTAACAATAATAATTCTACTTCTTTTTCTGTTATCATCGTAAAGAAGAAGAAGAATAAGAAGAAGAAGAATAAGAAGAAAGAAAACATTTCAATCGTTAACGATAAAGGTCAATATATTATATAATAACGTTCATTATTATCGAGAGTATCGAGAGAAATATTATTTTTAAAAGAGAAATATATACACGCATGCAGTCGTGAACCTTGAACGTTCCTCCGCCGTTGTGCATTTTTGTTTCGCGACGGTTGATAATCGTTTCCGCAATTCTGACCCACGATTACGACGAGTATCGTAACTACGACAATGATTAAACGTTACGACGTGTGTTTCCTTTTCAAAAATCTTTCAAGCGATTATTTCTCTCTGTTCCTTTTTTCATCATCATCATCATCTTCTTCTTCTTCTTCTTCTTCTTCTTTTTCTCACTTTAAAAAGAAAAAGATGACCAAAATCCGTAATGAAAATTCTATTCGATTCGTAGGTAGCTACTCCTGCCGAGTAAGCTAATTTCAAACACATCGTTTCTCAAATAAACGTGCATTCTTATCTACGTAGTACGTGCTTATGTAAGCACTTACGTATCAACGTATATACATATACATATATGTAACTATCTATGTAAGTTACATACGTGGACGGTTTTGCTTGGTTTCACCCTTTTATTACGATTATTTTCTCGTTCGCGCCATGTTTAGTTTTTTCATTGCACAAAGACGTTATCGTAAATATGATTTCTTCGAATTAATTCAATATACATATATATACATTTATGTATCTTCTCTTTGAATTATATTTTTGCATAAAATTAATGAATTCGATGCAAATCAATCGTTTCACTTAATAATCGGATTAATATAAATTTTATTTATTAAAATATTGTGTGTTATCAATGATTTAATAAAATATTCTCAATACTAACCAAAAACATATTCTTATATTTTTCTTATAAAAATATATTATTATTTATTTATATTCCGTCCCTTTCGGGTTTCGAAGGCTTCCGATACAATCTTCCTTTTTACAAAAATTCCAAAATTCAAACAAACAACTGTTATATATACTTATACAAATATATAATAAATCTAATATGAATACATTTTTCAACAGACGAATCAATGATGTCTAACAATAAGTCAAATATTTTGCAAGCAACTAAAATTACAACATATGTATTATTACTTTAAGATTTTCTCTTATCCAGTTGGAACCATTCACGTTAGAAACTTTTAGTTATGTAATTCATCATTCTGTCATTATTCGAAAAGACATTCTGGCGCGTGCCAGTCTCTATCGTTGATGACATTTTCAAAATTCGTAGCACCTGTACAAGATTCTCTCGTTCTTCGTTCTACTCTGTTTTATAAACGCATGAGATCTAAGTATAGAGCTGACGCGCAAAAACGGATAAGTCGACTCATCGCACTACGTGTACGTACACGCATTCATACACACAAACATACATACATACATACATAAATACATACATCAACGTATTTCTTACATTCATGATTGCTGTCGTCGTCGTAGTATAATTCGTTGAAGCTGTGCGGTTAAATTAGCGTAGTGGAATGCGGATTTGATTTGAAAAATGAAAAAGAAAAGAAAAGAAAAAAAAATACCTCGAACGCGAAATGTTTTCTCCTTCGAAGAAGAATTAATAAGTAGAAGGAATATTCCTATACCAATAATTTGTACATAGGAATAGGAATAGGAATAGATGTGGTCCACATGCAACTTATAGTTATACGCTTATATTACAACATATAATAAAAATAAAAGAAAGAAACAACAAGTATATCTAAGCAACCATGTCCAAATAATTACATATCAAAGATTTTCCTTTAAACATTATCAGTAATACACAAATGACGACAATTAGTGGCTAAACCCAAGAGACTCATACATATGTAAACACTAATAACAATTCATTAATTCATTCGACTGTTCGATTCGTTTATCGCATCATTAGTAAATACAAATCGTGCATATTTTTCTATTCATTAATTTGCCAAACAAACAAACAAACAAACAAAGATAGATTGAGAAGAAAACAGAGAAAGAAAGGGGGAAATAATTATTGTACTTTTCAAAAATCCAAGAAAAGTAAGTACTTATCTGCTTTCTTATGTACTAACAACCTATCTCGACAATTCGACCAACTATCGACCCTACCAAAATTTTCTGCTTAGCGTTCTCTCATAACGTTCCCTTATTTTCCCTTCTTCGTTTTATCCATCCACATGGAACTATTTCTTTCTCACTTTCTCACTAACAAAAGCACCCCTTTTCCTAGCCAACGTATATGTATTCCATCTCTCTCTCTCTCTCTCTCTTTCTCCCTTCACTAACTATCCTTTTTCTTCTTCCTCTTCTTCTTCTTCTTCCCCTTCCCCTTCCCCTCAAAGCTTCCTCCCTGTTTTCATCTCCTTTATTTCGATCGTTTTCTCTCTTTCTATCTAACTCTATCCAACCATCGAACCATCTCTCTCTCTCTTTCTTTCTATCTTTCTATCTTTCTCTTTCTATATATTTAATATCAGTCTGTCTCTTTTTCTCTATGGGTGATCGACGGGGCCTGGGCAAAACGTAGTGGGGGGCCACGTGCTTCCAGTACCCAGTCACGCGAGAGTGGGACACGTGGTATTGTACGTCCGTCCGGATGCATAGGCGTAGAACTTAAGGCTATATTTTTTCTTTTCACTTTTCTTTATTATTATTTTTTTTTTCTTTTTCTTTTTCTTTTTCTTGGGAGGATTTTTTTCTCCTGTTTTTCTTCTTCCAAAGGGTTTTTCTTCTTTACATTGTTTTTCTCATCATCGATTATTATTATATCATCAACTCTTGTAGAAAATACACGAGAGAGTTTTTATTTTATAACTTGAATGATTTAAACGTCATTGATTATATCATCCATTTTCTCACGCATGATAATATATATTGAAATTAAAACAAAAATATTCTTTTGAATGATTTAAATGATGACAAATATATATATATCCTCCGATTAAATTATTAATCCAATGACAAATGATTTTTGTTTTTTTTTATATAAAAATAAAAGAATTGATTTTTATTTAAAGAATTTTTGAAAAAACAAAAACGAAAGTTGAATATTATATATTATATCCCGTTGATTCAATATACATACATATAATATATATATATATATATGTGTGTGAGAT